AAGAAGTAAAACACTGGAAGACTTACACTTTCCAATTTCAAAATTTACTATAAAGCTACCACAATCAAGGCAGCCTGATGCTGATGTAAGAGTAGGCACACAGATCAGTGGAACAGAAATGACAGTCTAGAAATAAACCCTTACATTTTGGTCAATTGAGTGTTTTACCAAGGTGCCAAGGCAACTACATAGAGAAAGGATAATTTTTTCATCAAATAGTGCCAAGACAACTGTATATCCACATACAATAATAATAATAATAATAATAATTTGGATATATTCCTCATCCCATACAAAAAAATTCACTGGAAATTGATGATATACTTCAACTGTGACCCAAAAAGGAAAAAAAAAGAGATAAACTAAGCTTCCTCAAAATTAAACTTTTTTAACTCAAAAAAAAATTTAAAAACATGTAACAAAGTAGTTATTTACAAAACACATATCTAATAATGGACTTGTATCCAAAATATACAAAGAATGCTTACAACCTAACACAGTAATAAAACAAACATACCAGTCCAAAACATGGACAAAAGATTTAAATAGACACTTCAAAAAAGAGAGGAATGCCTAATAAACTCAGGGATATATGTTCAACACCATTAGCCAATAGGGAAATCCAAAATAAAAATACAATGAGATACCACATCATAGCTACTAGGACAGCTATAATAAAAACATAATAATAAGTGTTGGTAAGGATGTGGAAAAGTCAATCCCCACCTCCTTCCCACATTGCTAAAGGGAATGAGGAATGATTACTGCCACACTGGAAAATGGTTTGGTAGATTTTTAAAAAGCTAAACTTAGTATACAAACCAGCAATTCCACTCCAAGAAAAATAAAAACATATCTCCAAAGGCTTGTACACAAATGTTTAGAGCAGCATTATCCATTATAGCCAAAAAACAAAGCAACCTAAATGTCCATTAACTGATAAACAAAATGTGGCACATAAAATGAAATACTTCAGCAATAACCAGGAACAAACTACTGATACATGTCACTACATAGATGAATCTCAAAAACATTATGCTGAGTGAAAGAAACCAGATCCAGAGACAGAGAGCAGAAAGCAGACAATGAAGACAGACAGCAAATCAATGGTCGCCTTGGGCTGAGTGTGGGAGCCAGGACTGACTATAAGCTTGCTTCTGCAAACTTGTTAAATTGATGCAAATATTCTAAAACTGAATTGTGGTTACATTAGAACAATTACTAAAATTTACTAAATTTGCTAAAAATCACTTAACAATTTAGAAAACAGAATTGTACGTATGAGCCCTGCCTTCTTGTAACTAGAGGAAAGTACCAGGATTGTATTATTGAGGAAGACTGTAGATTCTCCTTGCTGTTTCACTCTCTCTAAGGTTATAGACTGGGTTCATGGTTCCCAGTGCAATGGTTTTGAGATGGTGTAATTTTTAAGAGATGGGGCCTAGTGGGAGGGAATTAAGTCACAGGAGGCACTGCTTTCAGAAGGAATTAATGTAGTTCTTCCAGGACCCCAGAAAGCTCCTATGAGTATGGGTCATTATGAAAAACAAGAGATCCTGGCTCCTGAATCTCTCTTACTTCCTTCTTGTCATGTGATTTCTCCTTTTTGCACACACGCCTGTCATAATGTTATCTACCAAGTTGTGATGTGGACAGATGGGCTTCACCAGAGCCAAATGATGGCACCGTGCTCTTAAATTACCAGAACTGTGAGCTAAATAATTTTTCTATATAAGGTACTATTATAGACAACTAAGGTAAAAATACTATAGGCAGTCAGACAGGGCTAGCCCTCGAGGGAGTCAGTGCAGAAGATGAGAACACGTTACAACTGTGGCTGGAGGTGCATCTGTTGACAGCCAGACCTCAAGATGGAGACAGAGTGACCCAGCCTGCAAGCCTTCCCAAGGGATAAACAATGGATTGGGGACTGTGGCACCCAGTGAGTGGCCACAACCCCCTGGTTCCCTCTCTTCCTAAAAAGGTCCTTGTTCTTTCCATGCACACTTGCTCTGTGACCTGCTTCCCCACTGGATAAATATTACCTATGCGGCTAAACTTGTAATCTTATTGGTTGATCATAGTTTTGTCCCACTTTGTACCCATCTCGTGATCTTGCACCCACCTTGTGATTTTCCACCTCATGATTTTCACAATTTTACTCTATAAAATCTCCTCTGTAAAGTGGGGTACATAGCAACCCATTGTTGGGGCCCCTCCTGTCTCCTAGATGCTGTTACCTCTCTCTCCCAATAAATATTTCCTACTGTTAACCTCTATTGTTCCTTAGAATTCATTCTTCAGTTTTCGAGAACACGATTCGACATATTGCACATCTAGCAGGTTGGGAGTTACATTTATTTTCCCTATATCAGTATTATATTTTGTTATAGCAACAAAAAATTGACTAATACACTCCAATATAACAGCTTTTTTTGTTTTTGAGACAGGGTCTCACTATGTAGTTCTGGCTGGCCTTGAAATCACTATTTAGTCCAGGCTGGCCTCAAACTCATGGCAATCCTCCTGCCTCAGCCTCCCCAGTGTTGGGATTACAGGCATGCCCCCCCAGCTATGTAACAGTTCTTCACAGGGAAATGATTTCTATATGCCCAAGAGAATTACAAAGAGCCTAACAGAATGGCCAATTTTGCAAGGCCCTTTCTAAACCAAGTCCAAATGATGATGATGATGATGATGTTATTTTATAAAAAATAAAATGTACAAGATTTGTATTGTTCTATCAATTGTTTTTCCTTCACCACTTTTACTGCATTTATTACTAAAACAATGAAAATTCAATGTACCTCTCCTATAGGTGTTCTTTCATTAACATGTTAATCATTCAGGATCCATAAAAAAGAATATACATATCCCCTAGGCCAAAATAAAATTTTTAAATCATTTCATGCTAGATTCCAGCCTGATTTGAGGCTCTACAACTACCAGTTGGAACCAACATTCATGTGATATTCCTCTGGGTCTCTCTGTGGCCTAGATGATCAATCCAACTTTTTATTAGCCAACATGGCCTCTCTGTAGCTGGTTTGCATAAATACTAAACCTGTGTACTTGTTCCTAGAACTACTTGCTGAAATATAGAACTGTTTAAAGATATCATTTATTTTCAAAATGTAACAAGGGCCGGGGATTTAGCTCAGTGGTTCCGCCTCCTGCCTCGGAAGCTCAAGGTTCCAAGTTCAATCCCGGTACCAAAAAAAAAAAAAGTCCATGCAGTTTTACATACATACAGCCATTTAGCTTCCACACCTAGCCAATAAATTTTTTTAAAAGGACAGAACAAAAAAATATCAACAGAGTTTGCGCTTCTTTTCTAAGGTCTTAGCAAATGTTTTTCAAGAAATCATGTAGTATGACAGAATGAAAAAGTGAATTCAAATCTATCATATACAAAAAAGTATAGCAAGCCCAATTCTAAAGCAGTAGGATATAACTTTAGAGGGACAGATGAAAGAGGCCTGATATACTAATACCTATGAGTATTTCCACGTGAATCTAGCATAGTACATTACACAGAAACATCAATTTAAGTATAATGGATAAAGTTATAATGAACAAGCTCTATTAAGCCTATGTGATGAATGATTCCAACACGTGGTGTGAATTCTCTAATTTGTAACAATCTTCCATCTCCTCCACCCTTGTGGGAAGTAAGGAGAAAATATTCTGAAAGGTCTATCAATAAAAGTGAGTGACGGGCCGGGGATTTAGCTCAGTGGTTTCGCCGCCTGCTGTGCAAGCTCAAGGACCCGAGTTCGATCCCCGGTACCAAAAACCCCCCACAAAAAACAAAAGACAAAAAAGTGAGTGACAACCGTGGATTTAGCTCAGTGGTTCCGCTGCCTGCCTCGAAAGTGCAAGGACCCGAGTTCAATCCCGGGTACCAAAAAAAAAGTGAGTGACACTCTTAAACAGCTTAAATTGGGTGACACAAATGTGCTCTCTGTAACAAAGTTAATCACATCAGTTTTAGATGTATTAAGCAGGGAACAAGTTAGACTGAAACCATGTGGAGGCCAAGAGCTTTCAAAATGTTTAGATCAGAACAAAAACCCTTGCTGGAAATTTCTTTGGCCCTTTTCTTTTTTTTTTTTTTTTTTTGGTACCGGGGATCGAACTCGGGTCCTTGAGCTTGCGCAGCAGGCGGCGAAACCACTGTCTTTGGCCCTTTTCCATAACATTACATCTCAAACTTTTCACTTTTCAAAAATTCCAAATCTTTTCCCAGCTCGGGGCCAACAGCCCATACAACAGGATCACAGAAGAATGATTCACAGTTGTAAACGCAAATACCTAAAACATGTAAAAGAGCAAGCCAACAAACTGCACGCACAATCTCAAATCTCTCTCAGGAGTTTTGAAAAGGATTTGCCCTAGCACTCAGAGTTGCGAGGAGACAGTCGCGCATCAACCACTCCCCTTGGTCCCGCACTGAAAGGCAGAGGGCGCGAGAGCCAGCCGCGGCGACCCGGGCTCCTCTAACTGGGATGCAGGGAGGACAGGGATAGCTGCAGAAAGTGACAGGTTAAAAGGGAAAAGCTTTTCACGATACCACAGATCTAACGCAAAAAAATTCACCTTTGCTCCTCTCCTTTTAAGACCTAGCAGCCTGCGCTCAATCAACAACAACAACAACAACAACAACAACAACAACAACAACAAAAGACGCCGACTCCTTCCTCCCTCCACTCAAGAGCAGAGAACTTTGCCGCAAAACCCCTCCGCAGACCCAACCCTGGGCTCCTCCAGCCCGGGACCACGCCCATCGAAGGTGGGGCCGCCCCCCTCCACCACGCCCCTCGCCAGGGACTCAGTCCCCTGGGCCCACGCCCCAAGCCAGGGGCCCTACTTAAGCTCCGCCCCCCCATCTCCCTCCTCACTCCCACACCCCTCAGGACCCGCTCACCCACCCTCAAGCGCAGGTCGAACGGTCTCGCGAGTCTTACATCTCTTTTTTTTTTTCCCAACCCCAAACATACCCTGTACCTCCAGCACCCGAGCTGACACACAGGCCAGATGCCTGAGAGAAGCAGCCGTCTTCCCTTCGTTCTGCGGCCTCTCTTACCCGGTGGTCCTCGCCAAAGCTGCTTCAGCAGTTCGGGCTGTGGCGGGAAGGAAGCCACTGCCCGGGCTTTGTGGCTTGAAAACTTGGCTTGGCCTCTTATTGGCTTTTTGTTTTGTTTTGACTTTTTTGAAATTTTCCCGCGGTCATCCGGCTGTGGGGCTGCGCGCGCACTTACAGGTCCGCAGTGCATCCTGGGGCGTGGCGTGCGGCCCTGCGTACCGGGGCGCCTCTCGTGAGACTTCCGGGGCTTTTAGTCCTGGGCAGGGGGCAGCGCGGGCGGAAGTAACCCTAGACCAGTGGGGCTGACCCGTGGGAGGGATCTTGTCACAAACCTAGGGGGTTTTCATCCAGTTATTGCCCAATTATTTTAAGATTGTGTTCACGATGCGGAAGAGGTTAAAATAGAAATTCGTTCTTTTAAAAGTAACAACCTTTGTCAATGGAGTAAAACCTCTAGAGCCCTAGAATATGACCTTCTAGGTATGTTTTCAACAAAAGAGATATTTTTGGAGTTAATGCACATCCCAAAGCAGGCCTGTACAGTGTTTAAGGTTCAGATCAGGTCGAGATTGTATTTAAGTCCATTTAAATAAATGGTAAGAGCATTTTCTAAGACCTTCGTCCATGTCGGTGGTATTATCTTGGGTTTTTATTCTTGAATTTAGTAATCCAGGAAAGTTTTCACAGAAGTTTAAGTGATTAAAAACATATATACAATAATCTGAAAAATATAGCCATAGCATTTAGAGTTTTTTAAATCAATGCCTCATAACCATAAATTATAATTGTAAAACTATTTCACGTATGCTTCTAAAAAGTAAAGTCAAATCTACACATATAATACAACTGGCTCTCAATTATTTAAACACCAGCTATTCTTATAATGAAAGAATAACCATTTTAGCAGAGGATGAATTCAGTTCAGAAGTTAAGTTACCAGGGCTATAAAGATCATAAGTGGTAACATCAGTGTGTATGGTAGGGATAGCAACAAAATTCTAAAGAAATAAGAGCAAAGGGATCTAAAACTGGAGGTAAAATGGGCAGTATCTGCACCTATATTAGGGAATCAGGTGTTTGAGTCCCTTCTGTACACTAACCCTGCCTAATAAAGAGGTCTGCTTTTTTCAAGTATGCATAAGTGGCTGAACGCAAAGCACAGCCAGTGTGTGTGTTTGACACTCATAGTGACACTTGGGCCATTAGAAAGTAAGGTTCGTGGTGGCAAATTATAAGTAAATGTTTTAGTCCTGCAATTACCAGCAAAAAAAGCAATGAAGTCATGTTTTCTTCAGAGAAAAAAGTCTTATTTCTCAGGTCCTTTTTATATATGAAGTGTGATCAAAAAATACAGTGAATGTTAAATTAAAAATTTGTTACAGTAAAAGACACATCACTTCAAAATCTTCTCCAACACACTTATCCCATTGAGTTTGGGCATTATAGGGTATGACAAAAGCTGGCTGGGGAAATAGGCGTGACCTGTTAACTACAAGATCCCAGACACCCAGAACAGTTCCCAAATCTCTGTATGTGGACTTCTGGATAAGAGAACTTGAGTAGATTTTCAATAGGATGGCCTGGACCTGACCTCAGCCTGAGGCATGGGATCCCAGCACCACTTCTCAGATCCATATGTAGAAGTTCTGATGGGTTTTTTCGAGATTTGGAAGTATAAAGGAAAGGCAGTCATGGGGAGCAGTGCTATTGTAACTTTCCATGATAGCCAATGCTACATTTCCCAGACTCGAAGTGTTCTTTTACCTTTGCTTTTACCCCTCTTTTTCTATTTACTTGGGCTAAGCTTGTTCTGCAGAGCCAGTTTCTCCCATACTCTTCACTTTTGTTTTCTTGAATAAACTTTGGCACTGCTTTTTGCTCATTTCGTTCAATTCTTTGTTTAAGACTAGAAGAACCTGGAATCTAACTCCAGAAGGAGAGGCGAGTAACCCAGAACTCTGTAACATTTAGTCATCAAGCACTTTTAGAAGTAGACTACCCAAGAACACCATCATTAGTGCCACTTTCTGAGGCACTTCTGGAATTCTTGTTTCATGAGTGACTTTAATTGCATTGTGGTGGCTACTGCCTCCATATCCTGAATCAATTCAAAATGTTTATCTGTCACGGTCATTTTGATTTTGGGGAAGACACAGAAGTCACATGGTGCAGAAGCAGTGAAAAAGATGGATGAGGCCACAGCACAGTGTTTTCCCTTTCCGTTGGATGGCACTTGCCAGGAGCATTCACCATATTTTTTAATCACACTTCATCAAAACAGGAGAAAGAACTTCCAGAACTTCTCCAGAATATGGCAGAAATGATGAAATAAGTTTGCTCAAAGCAAGGCGGAATATTCTGGAGTGGATTAATAGCAAGGTGTCATTTACTGCAATCAATTTTAATTTTAAAAATTTAAACATTTTAATCACCTCTTTGGTGAAGAATCCTTTCTAGTATTTTTAGTGTTAATATTGAGATCTTCTCATCTTGCAGTGTTGTCTTTTTAAACTGGAGTTAATAAAGAATTTCTAGGCTCCTGCAACTTTGCCAGTATATGATATGATGCCACGTGCAGGTGTAATTTGTATCTTAAATGGAAAGCATTTATAGTATAAAGATCCAAATTTAAATTTGTGGAGATTTATAGACACTCATTTTAATCTGGCACCCATATATCTGTAGCTATCCTAATATTTTAAACAATAAAGTTATGATCATTTTTACACGTCTTATTTATTTATTTATTTGTTTGTTTATTTATTTATTTATTTTTTGGTACCAGGGATCGAACTCAGGTCCTTGCACTTGCAGGGCAGGCAGCGGAACCACTGAGCTAACAAGTCTTATATTTAAATGAATCTTAAATTGGTGTATGTGTGCCTCTGCAAACCAATTTGGTTTTAGTATAGAGCTTAGTAATATTTAAATAATGTGACAGAAATGAAAACCGTGAAAACTACTACATTCTTTACATTAAATCTTTATATTCTAAGGGGGAAAAATAACACCGGAGTGCTGCAAAGTTCGTGACATTACTAAATTTTCCTTCAGCGTTCAACAAACAGAATCACCTGTCTTGGTTTGCATATTGCAGAAGTCATTATAGTAACACTTCTGCTTCTAGAATGAGTCCAGACATCCATGTGTCTTCCTGCCCTCATTTGGCACTCTTATCACCAAACATTATTTTGTCCATGGCTTTGATATTTGCCTTTGGTACCACAAACATGAATGTGTATTTATTAAGTCCAGACACTGGGCTAATTATTTCCTTTAATCCTCACAATGATTTATGTGGTAAGAATGTTTTAATTTCACAGATATATAACAAGATGCATAGAGCCATCTTTTATAGAAGATGTTGGAACCTACCTTAAAATCCAGGTAGATTCACTCTAGTGCTTGTGCTTCTTACCACTTCCTATGTGCTTGCTTGTCCCCTAAGTTGTATGGAGAGAAAATAGTGAATGGGTCATGTGATCCCAGAGGTTTATGCACTCTAGTCACCGTGTTGCCTTCTCATTCAAACATTCTGACTGAGGAAATAGACACTGAATTAAGAGAACAATGAGAATAGTATTTGTGGAGGAAACATTTCAATCCTCAGTGCCACAAAAAAGAAGGGGACAGGGAACAGAGCGAGTAATAGTGACAGTCTTTGATTCACTTCCCTGAGGAGAAAAACACACCTGAAGTTGAAGGGAGTGGTATGAATTAGGGCTCCCTAGAGGAACCAAATCAATAAAATATGTATAATTATGTGTGACTATTTATTAGATAGGCTTACATGATCAGAGGCAGGAGAGTTCACAATGTCATTATGAATACTGAAGAGTTGGAGGATCTAGTATCTGCTTAGCCCAATAAAATGAAAACCATAAAACAAGAGGAATCAAGAATGCAGCACCACTCCAAGGTTGAAGGCCTAGAAGCTAACTGTAGAGTTGCCAGCACAGTCTGCATTGGAAGGCTGAAGAAACTGAAGGCTGATGTCAAAAGGCAAAGGCAGCAAAGGGTACACCCACGAAGCAAAAGGTACACCATTAGGAAGATTCGAGATCTTCAAAGCAGGCAGACTTTCTTCTTTCCCTTTTTATTTCATACAGGCCGCAAGCCTACTGGACAGTGCCATCTACATCTGAAATGGGTCTTCCTCCCTGTTTGCTGGCCTACATGCTGGTCATCCACAGACACACCCAGAACTGTGCTTTTCTAATGTAGGTGTTTCTTAATCCATTCAAGTTGACATGCCATGATTAACAGTCACAGGAGAACTGCAGGAGATAGAAATTAATGGGAGATAGGAAGTGTGGAGTAGAAAGAAATGGGAAACATGTTATAAATGATCCCTTTCCCCCACCTCCACCCACATGCTTACTCTGGGGCACTGTTGAAAGAATACACCTAGAACTTGTTTGACAGACCAGCCCTGATTCATGATGGTTCAAATTAACAATTTTTTAACTTCACAATCATCCAAAAACAATATGTGTTTGGTAAAAACCACACTTTAAATCTTCAATTTTGATCTTTTCCCAGGCTAGTGGTATTTGGTATGATTCTGTCTCATAATGCAAGGCAGTGGCTGCCAGTGTCCCTCATCAACCACAAGATTATTAGGGGAAATAGCTGATTCTCTGTAGTATAGTGTGCTGCTAAGCTGTGATATTCATGTAAGTTAGGTGTAGTAACTGCATTTTGACTTGGGATATTTTCAACTTACAGTAGGGTTACCAGGACATAACCATATGGAAAATAGAGGCTTAAACTAGTGTTATTTCAGGTTTCTGTGACTGGCCCCAGAACTGAGCTGAGGTGAGTACTAGAGTCTGAGGTTATTGTGGTGAAAAAAATGTGTGTACCCTGACTGTGGAGCTTAGTCTAGTGAAGGGAATCTCCATTTAATTAATTAACATCTGCTCTTCCTGCAGCATCAATCAATAGATTCATACTTAGTAAAATGAGGTAAACATACGAGAGTAGCAAGTTTCATTTTTAAAAAAAGCAGGTAAGGGGACCTAAGCTATACAGGAGACAAGACAGGAAACTCTTATCTACCTACTAAAGTTCTGTGAATGTTGGAGGATAGAGAAACAATTCTCTCGGTCTCTGACATATAATTCCCAGGAAATAAAAATCTGCCTTTTCTCCATTGAGCAACAATACATACATC